AGCGGCGGCAGCAGCAGCGGCGGCGGCGGCGGCGGCGGCGACGGCGGCGTCGGCGGCGTCCGGCGGCGATCTGCTGGTGCTTGTGCTGGCTGCTGCTGCTGCTGCTGCTGCTGCTGCTGCTGCTGCTGCTGCTGGTGCTGGTGCTCGTCCGGTGCGCTCGTGTGAGTGTGTATAATTGCGCGCGCGCGCGTGTGCCCGCGCGATCAGCGCTGGCGCGTGCGGGTACAACGCGCGCGAACAACGACGCCGGACCTGCCGCCGCCACCACCAATCAATAAAAACCCACCACCGCCGGTGCCGCCGCCACCGTCGTCGTCGTCGTCATCGGTACTCGCCACCGGCGGCGGTGACGGCGGCCGAGGCGGTGGTGGAATAGCTTTTCGCCGCGACACGGTTAACGTCAAACGAGACTCTCGAGACGAGGGGAAAAAGCGGAAGAACGGGAAAAAAAAAACTTAAAGCCTTCCCGAGACCCGCCCGTACGGATAAAATCTGTTGACCGGTCGCGCGCGGAACTCGTGTACCCGAAACACCGCGGTGCGGTGACGCGAGCGCAACGGTCGACGACTACGACGACGACGACGACGACGACGACGGCGACCGCCGCGGGTTACGAAACAGAAGCCGGTCAAGTGTGAGTATGATATTATGATGTAGGAAAAGGTCGCGTGCGTGAGGTTTACGTGTATTAGCATTATATTCGCGATGTGGGTCACACCTGGCGTTCTATTTTCGTTTTAGAACCGCAGCGCTGCTGCCCTACGTTGTGCTGCTGTTGCTAAGGCTAAAGCTCTACCGGCTACGGCTGCTGCCGCTACCGCTGCTTCTGTCACCATACAGTGACTGTTGCAGCGATTGCAAATTCGCAACGGGTACCGGCGCACACGTGGAACTCCCCCCCCCCCCCCCCCCCATCCACACGACCCGGACGTAACACTGTTGGTGCGTTTCGCGATTCCCGTCCGTAACAAAATATCGTATATATTATATCTAGGCGCGCGTGTTCCGATACACACACACACACATTCATATTTATGTCGCTTGTGTGTTGCGGGGGCGGAATCGGTGGAGGTAAGTGCGGTCGTCGCAGCGGAACGAAAGGAACCGGCGGCGCGTCTGCGTCGTCGTCGGTTACCACCGGCGTCGTGTCGGTGGCCCGGGCGCATAGAGGGGTGGTGGAAATTCGAATACCACGGTTGTGGGCACGGACGGTGGCGCACGTACCTGTTTGACGAGCGGCAACAGCGTGTGTTCGATGCTCTTGAGTTTGATCTCCACGTCGTCGTAGTCGTACGCGTCGCGTTGCCCGCGGCCACCGCCACCGCCGGCCGGCTGCCGACGGTGCGAGTATCGCTGCTGGTGCTGGTGCTGGTAGTGCTGACGGTGCGGCGACGGTGGTGACGCGGCGGTGACGATGGACGGCGGTGACGGCGGCGGCGGTGCGTTTGACGACGGCGTCGCAGCCGGCGATTTGGCCATTTGGCATTATTCCGGGTTGCCGTGCGTGTGCGGCGTGTATGTGCGCGCGCGACGTGGCCCGGCGGCGGTGTGCGCGTGCCGCGTACAACAGTGGTCGGTCCGCCGTGCTACGCGCGGCGTAGCGATCGGATGCGTGCGACGCGCGTCCGTGCAACGTTCGTACACCGAGGTTTGCAGAGCGCGCGTGTGCGTGTACGTGAAACGATGTGTCGTCGCGGCGGCGGCGGCGCGTCCGTGAGCGCGTGGAGTAGGTAAGCGCGCGCGTACGACGCAGACGACAAAAACGGTCGCCGCGGCGGTGTACGTGAGTATCCGTGCGAGTGCGAGCGCCCGACCATGCGACACGGCCACGGCGTTGGTTATCCTCTCTCCGGCGGCGGTGGCGGCGGCGGCGGCGGCGGCTGCCGTTGTTGCGTGCGCGCGCGAGTATACAGGGCGCGCGATCGGCTTTTCCGCCTACCCAACCCTGGTGGCCGGCGCGCACGCACGTGGTATACGGCAACGGAGACGACTGCGTTCACGTGCGTGCGCCGTCTGCGACGCCCTATAAATAATTTCAAGCGCGACCGAAGGCCGTACAAACCGAGTAGTGTGTATAAATAATACGATTAATAAAAAGCAAAAAGAAAAATCAGAAAAACAAAGAAAGTACTGCTGGGGGAGGGGGGAACAAGAATTAATTTCCCCGCCCCACCACGGACGTCGTCTCGCCGTTCAGCTTCTTTTTCTCTATTGAATCGCCGCTCCGAGCACTCGTTGAAGTTTTTCACGTGCGCGTGCACCCCGCGACACCTATCCGAATACCTTTTGACCGCGCCGCGGTTCTCGATTCGCAACGACTTTAATATGGATAATACCAGTGATGATAATGATCCAGCGGCTGCGGACGATCCGAATTTCCAGATTATTCTATGAAAAATTATCGAATGTTTTGAGTACAAAAACCTCTCCAGAAATAATCTCAATCATGAACAATTAATCGACTTAATGTTCCGGGAAAATATCAATTCTTTAGGAAATTAAAATTTTAAGCTTGTTTGAAGAAAAGAAAATCATTACTTTTTTATGTTCGAAATGCAATGTTGTTCGGAAAAATTGTCAATGTAACAAACGTTTGGACTTGAGTTCAAACTATTTAATAAACGTTTAAATCTTGAAATGTCTGTATAATAGATGATGGTTGAAAATTCCGATTTGGTAAGATTTTCAATTAGCTTTTATTAACTTCGGAAAAAACTAAGGAATATCGATATATTTGTCTCTTGGTTGTGTTGCGAAACTTATTAAAACACAAAATCCAACAGAAAATAGAAAGTGAAAACAAATAGTCGATTTCATTCGCAATGTTTAAATATTAAACTTTATTATGATGACATTCGTACACTTTCTCCGGAGAGATACTGAACATTAATTGATAGTGTTATGTCGATTTTCAATAACGTTCAAACCTACTGATAAAGAAAATAACATAAATAAAACGCTCGACCAAAAGAGTATGAAACAGTATTTATTCTCTCATTTTCCTCTTAATTAGTACGATCCTGAACATGGCACGAAGTTGATGCATATACATATTGATATGAATGTAACATACACACATGAATGCTTTGTACATATACTATTAAACACATGTGTTTACACATTATTGTAGTACCGGGAATAACTACGGGACTAGTATAATTTAAAAAAAAAAAAAGGATAATACGACTGCACTTCATGTGGACATGTGGTTATAGTGATTTAACATTGGTCTCTTTTTATTTGTAAGAAAATCTATGAATAAAATAGATACGTGTTTACGTGTACTTATGCTTACGTTTATGCTGGCTACACCGAATCCAGCATATTTTTCAAAGGAATGCTTTTAGGCTGCGTACAAAAAGAACTGTTAGTCCAATTTACTCTATATATACAAGTATATATATATACATATACGTGTGTGTGTGTGTATGTGTAAAGAGAAAAAGAGAAAGAGAGAAAGAAAGGGGAGGGGGAGATTAATTATGAGTTCCTACGTTGAAGTGATATTTAATCACAGAATAAATTTATAAATCCACGAAAGCTATAATATTTTAAACAGTGACTATTTCTTGTAGAAATAATATAAACATTAACTAAACGTTCTCAAAAGATTTTAAAATAACCTCAAAGTATTTAAACATTTTAAGCAGTGTAGTTGGTTTTTTAACCATTAATAACTGTCTTCTGAATAAAAATAAAACATGTATAAAATTTTCTCCTCTATAAATTATTGTAGAATATAGGCTTCTTAAAATAATGTGGTCTTACACAGCTGTCGGCCCACTTTCCTTATGATTTCTGATAGTACTAAGACTCAATTTTTGATAAATTATTATTCTTGGACGTAACAAAAAATATCAAAAATTCATCTTTTGGGCAGACCCGTGCGATAATTTTGACAAATATGACTAATAAATGGTATAATTTCGTGGATTTTTCGCTCTTTAAAGATTAGGAGGAATTCAAAAAAAATAAATATATTTTCTTATCCGTTAAGAAGATTAAAGAGATTAAATAATATATTACGCATACTATGGCCGTACAACAAAACTTCTTTTAAGACGTTGTGTAGAACGATTGAAGAATACGACGTACGCAGCTAGGTCACACGTGTATGTACAAGGAGATGAGGAAAAAAGTAAAACGTTTTATCGATTGTAAAAACTATTAATTTTTTCGCCGGAAAAATCCGAAAACGCAATTTTATTTTATACTGGGTATGTACAATGTTTATAAAGTGGGTCGTGCACGTATCTCGCGCCTGATGTCACTTTTTCATTATAGTTATGTCCACATGTTTTCAGGGCCTTTAATTATTAGATCGGTATGGGGGAGACTTTTATGGTATAGTTTCTTTTTATCGTGATTATTATGTCTCCCGGCGTTTCCAACACTTTTCAAACGAATGTGAAGTGTATAGAATACGAAATTTACGTTTATATTATTTACACGCATGTATATGAAAACACAACTATATCTACCATTTTTAATATGTGATGACTACATGGAAATGTCGCATAATTTATATGTTCGAAGAAAAAGGTACATCATTCATCAATTGGCGCACATACAAACTACTTTGACAATATACTAATTTAATGTGTATTTATGTATGTATACAGTTAAGGTATACGAGTAGATGGGTAGACGTACATTATGTTTGCCCTATCGCTGTTGCATAAGATAAACTTATCTGAATATTCAGTTAATTCTTTATAAATTAAAACGCCAACACTGTGCTGAAGATCCCCCACATTAATTATACGTTTGGTATAAAAATAAAATTAGAGAGAACAAAAAAAAGATATACTTGCAAATATTTTTGGGTAAAAAAAAAGGTACAACGGTTTTGATTTTCGAAAATGTGTAGTTATATTACCATTTACAAACGCATAAAACACTATATATATATATATATAGTACATACCATATGCGTGTTTAATGATTATTATGATACATGCATTTCCCTGAAGTTATTAGTGCAATAATAAATAAAGTGTAAAAGAAACGAGTAGACACAACATAGTTCAATACTAGACGTGTATGATCAAACAGAGGTTAAGGTTTATATGATATTTTATGTTTCAACAATACCCCTAGAATCTACAAAAAGCTACAACTCAAATTACTGTCATACAAGTCAATAAATGATGCATGATACAGTGCAGTGCAGTAGTTGAGTGAAGAAAAACAGCTTATTTACATGTAATATTAAATTATCTATTCTTAATATAATTATATATATACATGTACATGTAAGTATGAATAGTTTTATATTTTTTATATATAAGAGTTAATTTAAGGGGAAGAAAAGGATTTTTACAGGAGGAAGCAAAATTATTATGTTATGTAATTCATGTTGTATGTTTGTAAAGAAAAATGTTGTTGTATATTAACTATAGAAATGTATCATAATTTACAAATTTATAAATGAAAATAAAATTTTAAAAAAATACGAATAAATATCAAAAACGATCCCTGATTTCGAAAAAATAAAAACTGTTTTCAAATGTTTATTTTTTCCTAAAATGATTAGTTAAGTTCAATACATTTTAATATTATAATAATATATTTAATAGCTTTACTTTAACGTAAAACTCAATCGAATATTGTAAAAAATAAAAACATCTCTGATTCTGAATAATTATCAAAATAAAATATCTAAAAAAAAAATTTATAATTCTACCATAAGACTATACTGTGCATTTATTAATCTTATTATAGAATCGATGTTGTGAGCAGTACCAACTAAACACTCTGAACATTACAAAATATCCAATATATTTTTCACTTCATTGAAAATCCAAAAAGAAAATCACACATAATATAAATAATATAAAATATATCCATTCAAATAGTCTATCTAATTTTTGATATCCCTAAATGGAAAACATTTAACTGAGTCGATTCCTAGATAAAATATAAACTTAAATGCTACAGGAAGTATAGTAATTCATATATTAATACCTTGTATTAATTTTAAAATTTTTAGAAGGTATACTCATCAATTGATGCGTACATACTCGTAGAAAAATATTGTAAAATTAATCCAACACGATTAAGGCGTTTAATTTAATGTATTATTTAAATCAATGTTTTCTAAATCTATAAAATATCCTGTCAGAATATTAAGTTTCTAAGTAAGTGAGTTTGTTATTTAAATATTTATACGTTTTTCAGTAGGTAATTTCACTAATGTACTCAGCCGTCACACTAATGATAATTATTAATTTATAATGAACCTACAAACAAAAAAACAAAAAATCACTACATTTTTTATATACTTTGTTAAGTTATTTAAACGAATGTAATTATCATTAACGAATATAATAATTTATTATATTTTAATTCAACGTAGTCCAGAAGGGACTAAGTAAATGTTAAAAAGAGTATCTAATAAATGTATATTTTATCCAGTAAATTATTTAAAACCATAAAATAGCGTAATATAAAATTATGATTTATTTTAATGTTCAATTTTTATGATATGCTATTTTATTTTATCTCATTATTTTACAAATACTGTATACGTGTTATATTTGTAATTACAAAATGAACAATTATATTTGAACACAGATGTAACGCAAGACTAATTATTTCATCAACCGACTGCTATGTATGCTGTTTTTCACATTAACTGTATCTTGGAGATTATGGCTTTAATTTATAATTAATTTACTAAATATTAAAGTTTTGTCTGTAATCAACCCAACAAAGTACTTTGATTACAAGGTCCAGTATTTTATGGTCGGGGCTCGCATAAAAAAAAAAATTATAAAACAATTTATCAGAATACGATAAAAAATCTTTA